TACCTTGGTAGGATGTTATCATAAAAAGGCAAATGAATCAGGAATCAGATTACCCTAACTAACTAAGGTAAACTTCAAATGTTTATGAAATTCCTGCTGTTTGCCTGCCCCTGTGCATGCAATCTTGTTGGAGAATTCAGACACATACAGAAATTAATGCAGGGCAAAATGGAGGAAGTGGGCAAATACACAGTGCAGATGATAAAGACTAAGAAGGGCTAGAGGCAGACAGATCACCGCTTATCAATGTGGCCTTGAGGTTTTATGCAAGTTAAATAATTGCATAAAAAATACCTTTATAACACAAATCTTGCTCATCTCTACTTACTCCCCTTCATCCTGTCTCTCCAGAGGTGAATTAGACTCTTTAAACTATATGCATCTATTAAAACAGTAAATAATAGAATTTCTGAAAGAGGATTTAGAATTGGAACGAGCCTGCACTGGAACTTGCATGAGGGCTTGCTCTGAGTTTTGGAGAACAGGTAGAATTTGGATTTACAGAGAAAGGAAGAAGGCGTTTCAGTGCAAAGAAGCCATGGGAAGCGGGTAACACAGCAGAAATGAGCTGTAGGAAATCTGGCTTGACTGGAACAAAATACCTATGTAGACAGCTGTGGGAGATGGGATGGAGGGTCTCATGGAGAAGACAGCTGACCAGGAAGATGAGTGTCACAGAGGTCATGGATGAGGAAGGCCAAAATTAACATTAGAAGTGACAGTGACTTAGTGAGAGCCTTTTGGATTATTTTCGATATATTCTTTACTTGGGCTGCTTTTAGATGAAGGAATACTATCAGTTACAGCAAATGTTCTCTCTGACCTGTCCTCCCCTTTTCATACCAATTATTAAAATTTTCTTCCCAAATGTTAACTCTTCAATTGACAGACCTTTCCAAAGCTTCCTTGTCTATATCCTAAATAAAATTTCTATGACTTAGCTGAAGGACTTGTAGGCTCTAAGTAGATATATACTTCCTTTGCATTTAAAACTCATCCCAATTATAAATCCTGTTTCAGAAATATTATGGTTTACTGTTTTAATATATTTGTATAGTTTTCACAGTTTAATTGACCTCTGGAGAGCCGGGATGAAGGGCAGTAGGCAGACGTGATTAAGATTTGTGTTATACTTGTATTCAAGCTATTAAATACAGGTATGCTCGTTGTATTGTTCTTTTGTGGTTTTTAAACTACAATATTGCAGAACAAAGTTAAAAATAATAGAGTTACCAAAAAAAGGGAAGTCAAATGGTGCTATCTTGTTATAATGAAAAAGCATCTCTCTTCTCCAACCTTGCACTCTTCCAAGTTCTGCTCCCAGAGGTAACTTCTTTAAATTATCATGATAGCTTTTAAGCCTTATGTTTAGCTCCAATTTGCAAATAGCATGCTATGCTACTATTTCTCAAGTTTTCAAAGTTAAATGTTATTATTAACATCCTCCTATGGAAGAGAAGGACCCTTCCACTGTCCTAATTTGGTTATAGGAATGCTTTAAGCCAGTAATTAGTGTTCATACAATTATGACCTTTAAATATTATTCACAAGAGAGCCATGTCATCTACTATGATTACATCTCCTTTCTTTCTTTTTTTTCTCTTTTTTTTGAGATGGAGTCTCGCTCTGTCACCCAGACTGGAGTGCAATGGAACAATCTCAGCTCACTGCAACCTCTGCCTCCAGGGTTCAAGTGATTCTCTTGCCTCAGCCTCCCTCGTAGCTGAGACTACAGGCATTCTCTAATATGCTTGGCTAATTTTTGTATTTTCAGTAGAGACAGGGTTTTACCATGTTGACCAGGCTGGTTTTGAACTCTTGACCTCGGGTGATCCACCCGCCTCAGCCTCCCAAAGTGCTGGGATTATAGGCATGAGCCACCGTGCCCGGCCTTACATCTCCTTTCTTGTATAAGCTTTTTTCTCTGCAGGTGATAGTTAAATTTATTTTTACATGTTAATTCTTTGCCAAATTATTCAACAGAACTCTTAAACTCTTCTCAGAATAACCAAACATGACAAGAAATGTAGCAGCAGATTTTTCCCCTTAGCTCACCCCTCGGAGACCCTTGCTTGCCTTCTCCAGTCTGGGTCTCTTGCAGAACCAACCAGAGAACTCTGCCTTAGACTTCTGCTTACTGGGTTTCATTTCTACCTATGTCTTGATTTGCTCCTGCTTTGATGCAACTTATCCCTCAGAAGTTTGCTAAGAAAGAATACAAGGAAAATGAATATTCTGAATTTTGTCATGCCTAAGATTGCCTTTCATTCCATCCTCACACTTGATTGAGAGTAAGAGTAGATACAGAATTCCAGTCTAAAAGAAATTTCCTTGAGAACTTTAAAAGATAGTGAAGATTCCATTATTTTCCAGACTCTAGTGCTGCTGTTGAAAAGTTTTATACTCTGATTCTTGATGTTTTTCTTTTGAAAGATTTTGGAAATCTTCTCTTTACCTAGGTATCTATAAATTTTATAATTATGTCCCTTGATGTAGGTCTTTTGTATTAACATTTGGACAGTAAGTGGGCCCTTTTTTCATGGTAACTTTCCAATATAGTTTCATTTATAATTTCTTCCAATTCATTCTTCTCTTTCTCTTTTCAAAATGTGTATCTGGGCTGGGCGCGGTGGCTCAAGCCTGTAATCCCAGCACTCTGGGAGGCCAAGACGGGTGGATCACGAGGTCGAGAGATCGAGACCATCCCGGTCAACATGGTGAAACCCCGTCTCTACTAAAAATACAAAAAATTAGCTGGGCATGGTGGCGCGTGCCTGTAGTCCCAGCTACTCAGGAGGCTGAGGCAGGAGAATTGCCTGAACCCAGGAGGCGGAGGTTGCGGTGAGCCGAAATGGCGCCATTGCACTCCAGCCTGGGTAACAAGAGCGAAACTCCATCTCAAAAAAAAAAAAAAAGTGTATCTGTTGGACCTCCTGGACTGAGTCTTTCTGCTTCTAATATACCCGATTTTCTAGCAACTTAACTTTCCAGGTCAGCTATTGAGTGTTTAAATTCAGCTGTGATATTTAATTTTCAAGAACTTTTTCCAGTTCTGAGTACTCTTTTACATTTTTAAGCTTTTGTTTTTTTGCATTTTGTTAGTTTTTTTGGATGTAAAGTATGTCTTATTTATGTTTTTAAATAAATTACTAAATAAATAATAATACATAATTCATAACTAAATAAATGACATACTTTACATCCAAAATTATATTCTTATATTTAATTCTTATATTTATTTATTTGTTTAAATAAATAAAAGAAGGCATAGTCTGTTACCCATGCTCAAATGCAGTGGTACAATCATGACTCACTGTAGCCTCAAACTCCTGGGTTCGAGCGATCCTCCTGCCACAGCCTCCCGAGTAGCTGGGACTGTAGGTGCATGCCACCGTGTCCAGCTAATATTTTTATTTTTATTATTTGTAGCATCAGGGTCTCATTATGATGCTCCGTCTGGTCTTGAATGCCTAACCTGAAGCAGTCCTTCTGCCTCAGCCTCCAAAAGTGTTGGGATTATGGGCACAAACCACTGTACCTGGCCTCTTGTTATTTTTAAAGAATGTTCATGTTAAGTATGCTTTATTTATTTTAGCATTTTCTTTTGCTTCTAGAATTGTCTCTAGTTCCTCAAAGTCTGTCTTTTGGTCTCTGTTTTTCACACTGCAATCTTTTCAAAAATATTTGGTGACTTTGCAATGTGCAATGTGCTTAAGAATGAGAGACAAGAAAGCAGGCTGGAAGCTCTCATGTGTGTGGGCAGGGCTGGTGAATCGATGACCTGGAAGCTCTCATGTGTGTAGGCAGGGCTGGTGAATCGATGACCTGGAAGCTCTCATGTGTGTAGGCAGGGCTGGTGAATCGATGACCTGGAAGCTCTCATGTGTGTAGGCAGGGCTGGTGAATCGATGACCTGGAAGCTCTCATGTGTGTAGGCAGGGCTGGTGAATCGATGACCTGGAAGCTCTCATGTGTGTAGGCAGGGCTGGTGAATCGATGACCTGGAAGCTCTCATGTGTGTAGGCAGGGCTGGTGAATCAATGACCTTCACTGCAGGGAGGTGGGCACATCCCACACCCTTCATGTGATATATTAGTCAGGATGAGATCTGGTTGAATGTAACACAAAAACCAAAAATAACAGATACTTAGGTAAATAAAAATTCATTTTTGCCTCACATTAAAAAAAAATGCCCAGATTTGGAAGCCTAGGGTTTGTATAACAGCTCCATATCATCAGAGGTAGGTAACTTTGCTATACCACTCTCAGCGTCTACTTTGCTGTATCACCCTCAGTGCAATGCTTCATGACCTACCTGCCATGTCAACCTCTAGCCATTGTATCTGCATTACAGTCAGAAAGAAGGAGGAAGGCAGAGAAAAAGTAATTTTCCAGAAGCCCCACGCAACATTCTGCTTACACATTTTGGCTAGAAATAAACACATGGCCATATCCTTATAGCTGTAATCATAGCTATAAGCAAGGCTGCAAAACCTAGTCTTTTAGCTGGATGCATTGCTACCTCAAAGAAAATTGGAGTCTCATTGCAGAAGAAGTGAGTTCTCATCTCAAAGATGTATAGATGAGGTTTGAGCCACGAATCTATCATAATTAGCTAGCACAACTAGCAGGTGTTCTGAGAAGATAAAACACTCATTTTCATGTCCGTAGTTTCCTAAAACTTTCATAACTAACATAGAAAGTTTTAAAAAACACAGTAGTCTGAAATCGATTCTATGGTTAAAAACGGAGTATTCAATTCATATAGGTCCTTTTGCACTTGTCACATTGATGTGATGACGTCTCTCTCATTTTCCTTAGCACCTCCCGTCACATAATTAATAGTAGGTAATTAATTCTTGCTGAATAAATCAATGAATGTAATGAGAGTACATACTTGTGTCAGTTTTCTTATTTTGTCAAATAAGTTGCCAATAATGTATTAACGAAATTTTTGAGGATCTCAAATATTTATAAAATATTTCAGACACGGTGAAGCGGTATCTAAAATTTATTATCAATATTATAATAATTCTGGCACAAGACTAAATGGCTGCAAATATACCTAAAATTTGCTATTTTTTTATACTTTAGGTGAATTACATGGTGATACTTTAAGAAATTAGAAGCAAATCACAACTCAGTCATTTAAAATAAAAATCTTTAATTTCAACTTATTTAACAGATTTTTAAAATTTTTGAACCAGATTAAAGATGCCAAATTAATTATCTGTGGAATTTAAAAACGTTAACAGAAAAAGAAAATAGGAGGTGCTAGTGAGAAATATACTTTACAGTCCACATATTTATTGCATAATAATCTATATTATATTCTAATAACAGCAAATACAACATTATAATGATTTTAACATCTGGACTAGCTAGCCATGGTCCCCTAAATCCTACCATTCTTAACAAAGAAACCCATCCATTAGCAAACTTATGCGTCTAAGCTCAGTTTAATGCAACTTAATGAGACATTGAATTTTATGCAGTAAACCCAGTTATCTATAGTGTGTGCCCTCCTGAGTACCCCAGGAAATAAAGAACTGAGGGACATCAGATCCACCCAGGCCATTTATTTGGACTGCAGAAGAAGAGAGGCAGGAGGAGGGAGGAGAGGAAATAATGGTCTCTTTCGGCTGCTCTCCCGGGAAGATACCTAGTAGTCCTTAGCAAGGGCTGCACTTCAGCATTCTGTGTTGATTCGTGTTCGTGAGTGTAGATGCACTGTGTTTAGTGCATCGTGTCTAGGGTTGCTGGAACAAAGTACTGCAAACTTGGTGGCTTAAAACAAGAGAAATTTATTCCCTCACAATTCTGGAGGACTGAAGACTGAAATCTGCAGGTGTCAGCAGGGTCATGCTCAAAGGCTGTGGGGAGAATCCTTCCTTGCCTCTTCCAAGCCTCTCATGGTGGCTTACAGTCCGTGGCACTCCTGGCTTGGAGATGTGTCATACCAATCTCTGCCTCTGCCTTCACATGGACTCCTCCCCTAGGTAGCTATGTCTCTCTTCTTATAGGAACAACAGTCATAATGGTGACTCTCTGAGAAATAAGGCCCACCCTAATTCAGTATGACCTCAGTAATAACAGCAAATACAACATTATAACGATTTTAACACGTGGACTAGCTAGCCATGGTCCCCTAAATCCTACCATTCTTAACAAAGAAACCCATCCATTAGCAAACTTATGCGTCTAAGCTCAGTTTAATGCAACTTAATGAGACATTGAATTTTATGCAGTAAACCCAGTTATCTATAGTGTGTGCCCTCCTGAGTACCCCAGGAAATAAAGAACTGAGGAACATCAGATCCACCCAGGCCATTTATTTGGACTGCAGAAGAAGAGAGCCAGGAGGAGGGAGGAGACTTAACTAATTCATCTGCAAAGACCCTGGTTGTAATTAAGCTCACATTCATAGGTACCTGGGGTTAGAACTTCAACATATCTTTTATGGGAGACACAATTCAACCCACAAAATATATCATCCATATTTCTTTCCAAGAGTAGAAAACAGCCCCAGCACCACATTTTCTGTAAATGCAAAGGGTACTGTCTGGGTTCCTTATAACCCTTACTTCTAACCAAAATCTAGTTCTAAATTGCATGTAGAAGATATACACAGGACATTTAAAGAGAGAGACTGAGGTATGTATGAAGTCAGATAGGCAAATAATAAGATAATAAATTTTAGAAGTCGGATATATAAGTATTGACATAGTAAATATTGAAGTGACAAAAGGCTTACTTTCCTTCTCTTTGATGGATCCACTAATTTAAGGTGGAAGGTGGAAGAACTGATTAAGACTCTGCAGACAGCGAAATATTCCAAACATATTTTACCGAGAACAGGCAGAACGGATACAGTGATGGCAAACAGTGACTTAACATTGAGAAAAGTATGAATAGGACACAACGTAATGAATATGCATACTGAACCTCCCTTCCACGTTCCGAAAGTGGATACAACCGTACTGACTTCGCTGCAGCCCTATCTGCAGTTAAGCCATTTATTGCCTCTGGCAACTCTGGTGACTCTCTGAGCACTAAGATCAAATGCATAATATAATGGTCCACTGAAGAAAAGGAAGAAGTCTACAAAAAAAGAGAGATAATGTATTGAATTAGCTTATAGAAGATCTCAGATGTCTTCACTTAGAAAACCCTGCCCCTGTTCCAGCATATCATTCAAATGCAAACATACTATTTAGAAAGTTTAAACACCAGGTGTGATGGCTAATGCCTATAATCCCAGAGCCCTTGGAAGCTGAGGCAGGAGAATTGCTTGAGGCCAGGAGTTTGAGACTAGCCTGGGCAGCCCAGTAAGACCCTATCTCCTCTACAATAAACAAACAACGCATTTATTAGTCTTTTTTTTTTCTTTTTTCCACTTACGTTCTTGCTGGAAAACTGCATCAACTTTACTTTCTATTCCTGGAAAGATTTCTGATGTGCTTTGGGGATAACCTGGTTCCATGAATTGCCTTTGGTTATCATATCTGGTAAAAACAAAACGTCACCCGATTTAAGACCAATACAGAATATAATAAAAATAATTTTTTTAAATTGTATGTAAGTTACAAAGTCTCCTCCCGCATATTTTTTCATTCAATTCTCACAATGTCCTGTTTGCGAGGATTAAGAATGGTTAACTTCTCTACCTGAGGGTACTTATTTATAGAACTTTCAGGTATCATTCATTCTAAAACAGGCTTCTGGTAGTGGACACGCTGTTATTTTTTCCAAAGTAAGCTGATGTTTCCAAAGCTTTCACTTCACTGGTATATAGTATAACTCCTTCTCTGTGTGTATATATATAAATGTACATAACAGGTTCCACTTGGGAACCCAATTCTGCAGACTGTCTGGATAACATTTGCTGGTATGTGTCCAGATTCAACTCATAAGTGAGAATTAGCCTAAATCTTTCTTTGTATCTCACCCTATCTCTTTGTTAAGGTTTTCTTTGTTTCATGATGCAGAATCCTCAATACTATTGTGTAGACGTTTTAATTTTATAAAAATGAAAATTTTCAAAAGCCGTGGTAACATCAATCATTCTGTAAAAAAGAATATATTCTCAGTAAAACCCATTAACGACTGTCTAGATTGTTTTAAACCTTCAAAGCTTGAAGGTCTGTAGACAGGGTAGAGAAACACAGATTTCAACCTGTAATTGAAAAAACAGTTTACATTACCTCCAGAATTGGTCATTTACAAAGAAGTATGTTTTACTTCTGTAGAAGACAGCTGCATCAATTGCCTGGACACTGCTGGGGAAGCCATAGTTTGATATATCCCTGGGATATCCCTGCTGAATGTCATAGCCATTCAGAGCCCAGTATCGGTTGCCTGTCAATGATTCAGGTTAAATGTCAAGTAAGACTTTTCCATTTTTACAAAGTAACATGTATATATCACTTCCTGGTCTTGCACAGGCATGAAAATGGAACAAGCAGTCTTTAAAAGATGAAGATAATAAGGTTAAGTTCAGGGGGGCTGTGACGGACTTAGTGGTCCCCTAGAGCCTATAAAAAATTAAAACTTCTTAGCAAGACATTCAGGGCCCCACAATTACATGCCGTAGTTTGTGTGACTTTTATACCTAAACCAAATTACAGCCTTGAGGAGTATTAGAGAATTGTATCTGGGATGAGGATGGAAGTATGCTCACAACAGTCCAGTGTGGTCTCATTTTGTTAGAGAGAAAACTGATGGCTGACGTTTTCACAGTCAAGTTCATTAGGGTGGGGGTTCTGATGGTGCCCCACCCTAATCTTCTGCAAAAGCCTGCACAGCACTGGACCTGGAAGGGACTACGAAGAAGTCCTGCCCCCTCCCTGTAGGCAGAATAAACATAAGATGGAAACTTTAGGAAGTTACCTTTAAATAGGAAAACAAGATCCCTGTCAAAATCCTCATAAGCAGCCTGTATACCAGTTGGAAGGGATGGCCAGAATAGAGAAATAAAATTCATCTCGACTCTTTGTAGCTGAGGATGCCTTCTCCAGAAGTACCTGATGAAACATACGGAAACACACACACACTTACATAGTCTAAGGAGGCAGTTCCTGTGACTCTCAGGCTAGTCATGGTCCTTGTAGGATTGCTGGGAAAATATAATAAAATTCCTAGCATGGTGACCACCATCTGGCTAAGCTTTATGGTGATATTGTCCATCTGGTGAGTACTTCAGAGTTTCCAGAGGAGGTTTCAGGAGCGATCTTATTTGGTTACATTTGTCATTGTCTTGCCTTTGCACATTGAAAAATCTTACTTTGTAGTATCTTTCATTACTGCTCCCACTAAATGCTGAGACATATTGATAAAAGCAACAGCACGTGCACTCAGCCTATAATTGCACAGTCACAGAATAACCAACGGACAAATAAACATTTCCCTCAGTTAGATGATTTGCTGCATAGCTGGTTAAGCACCAGGCTCCATTTACCTGACTGATCATGGATGGAACCGAATGGAGCTTTGGTGTTGAGTAAACCTAACTATGGGATTCCCACGCAGCTGTAGCCGTGTCTGTTTACATCACCAAAGGCGTCTGAATGTTTGTTAATGTTTTCATGGTATTTTTTCCTGGATATTTTGAGTTACCCAGAAAACACTTGATTGCATAAATCCAGTATAGACATAAAAATGGTACAAATTGTCTTTAAAAGATGAAGATGATAAAGCTAATCTCCGGGGCCTATGATAACCTTAATGGTGCCCCAGAACCTATACAAAAAATTCCAATGGGAAGTACAGGTGTAGAATTCAAGGAAAAGGTGACTAACGTTGACCTAATTTGAATCCAGTTTTAAGGTAGGTTAGTAAGAGGAATCGAAGGAAGAAATGTTTCCATTTTATACTTGTCTTTAAAGAAAAATATTTCTCCACGGAGTGTGGTGATCGCATCAAACGTCAAGCTGGGGTCACAGGATCTGGGTGTGCTTGGTCCGGTAGGTTGGATAGGGTTGCTTGAAGGTCCTGAAAAAAAAAAGGGGTCTTTTTTGTAAGCATAAGTCCAGTGTGACTCAGGTACATCAGAGACTTCTCAGAAAGGCGAAGGGTCTTCATGTGAAGAAGAGTGCTACCAGACCATACCATAAAGCATGAAAGTAACTGTATATTTCATCTTTTTAAAGTTTTTGTTTGTTTATTAGAAGGAATGATGGTTTTCAGGGTCAGTTCCAGTTCAAGCTGTGAAGTGGAGAAATTTGAATTCTATGCTCCTTCCCTCCTTCTTAAATTCTAATCCAATCCTTTCTGACGTCTTAGGTCCTCTTTCTGATTTTCTGGTCACTCAGTATCTATTGCCTCTCTTCTCACAGAAATTCACTTTCAGAAAAGAATGATATTAGCCTTTTACTATGTAGCATACATCTAAGTCAAATTTTAGCAATATTTTTTCTATAAGTACTAGAATTCTAATTTTTTTTCTCACTGTGGAATGAAAGGCTACAATAATAGTTAACATAAAAACATTGGTGAACAAAATAAGGGGGTGTTGCTGGGGTGGGCAGGAGGAAGAAGTTGGGGAATGGAGGCAGTTAGGGTAGGCTCATCGTTTCTGAAAAATCTACAATCACAAAACAGTTCTCTGGTTGTGGCTCCCTGGCATGCTTGCTTGATTTCATAGTGCTGTCCCACCAGAGAGGGGAGAGAGCGTTTCCCAATTCCACTCTACTCTGTTCCACTCCATTCAGTTCTAATTCACTCCAATCCACCATTCCATTCCATTCCATTCCACACTTTTTTAGGGAGCAGTAAATCCCTTATTGTTTTTTTTTTATTCACAGCCAACTAGGGAACGGAAGGGCAGGCATGAAGAGAGATGTAATGAGCTTATTCAGGCAATATGGCAAAAGGTCCCTATACTCATCCTTGAAACGTATCAGTAATGCCTTGAAAAAAGTTTCTTCTTCCTCTCCATACTCCACTGCCATTCCCCTTCTCCTCCCACAGACAACTGTGTTAGTATGTTCATATATATATATTTTTTGTTTGCATGTTTCTTGAAAATGCCTTGCTTTGTTTATATACATTTTAAGTTTACATAGACTTATATATTGTGTAATTTAATTAACACATTATACAATATATCTCATTCTATTTCTTTTTCCACAAAGCACAAAGTTTTAAAGACCCATCTATGTTGTTGCCATATGTGCATCTAGTTCCTTGCTCCTGACTCCTGCACGTCACATCATGGTGTGCAGCCACCACACTTTATCTTTACAGTCTTCTCCTAATAGACCCCCAGGTGCCTTCCAGTTTCCGCCACCACAAACAACATGGCATGATTTGTACATATCCTCGTATGGACCTATATGAGAATTTATTTGAGAAATACATCTAAGATCAGGATTGCTGCAGGAAAAGGGATAGTCATGTCTTTTAAAAATATTTAAAATTGGGGCCAGGTGCAATGGCTCACACCTGTAATCCCAGCACTTTGGGAGGCTGAGATGGACAGATCACTTGAGGTCAGGAGTTCAAGACCAGCCTGGTCAACATGGTGAAACCCTATCTCTACTAAAAATACAAAAACTAGCCAAGTGTGGTGGCAGGCATCTGTAATTCCAGCTACTCAAGAGGCTGTGGCCGGAGAATCGCTTGAACCTGGGAAGCAGAGGTTGCAGTGAGCCAAGATCGTGCCAGTGCACACCAGCCTGGGCAACAGAGTGAGACTCCATTTCAAAAAAAGAATATTTAAAATTGGAAATCATAAAAAAGAAGAAGAAAATCCAAAGAAAATAACTGGGAACCACTGTAGTGCATTTCTTCCTAGCCTTTTTTTCTTTTAGGGCAGCAATAGAGGCTTAGCCCCAACATGCTATTTGTTAATGCTATGTTACTGGGGAATTTCCGAGTTCAGTTTTATGGAAACTGCAAGAAGTGCAAAGGAAGAGATATTCAGATACGGGGAGTGTTCGCCTATTCCCAGGTCCCACCATGTACTGCAACCTTCTTTAGGAGATCTTACCATAGATGGCCTGAATGCCATTGATGTCATCTTGAGGGAGTGAGTAGGTGCTGGGGTCCCTGAAAGCGTAGTTGGGATACATCAAGGCACCAGGGTCAGAGGAGTGAGAGAGCCCCAAAGAATGACCAAATTCATGAGCAGCAACAAGAAACAAGTTGTAATCTGAAATGCAAACGTGGATGGTGATCAGCTCACTGTGGATCCCAGGGTGGCAGAAACGTGATCACAAGGAGGGCAAACTCCAAGCCAAAACTGCTCAGGGAAATACCCTTCCCATGGCTGTCTTTTTCATCGTTCTTTCAGATACCTGAGAAAGCAGACATTGGGAAGAATCAAGATAGGTGGGGATAGGTGAGTATGAACTTCTTATAAACTCTTAGAACCCAGAAAAGCTGCATTTATTCCTATTCTCACATTTTACCAATGTGCGTCTGAGGCCTGGAGAAATGATGGCAGAGCCATCATGAATTTGGAAACCCTTCACCTCCCGTGCTCCCACAGCCACCATCTTGAGTGTCCCAGACCCTCAGCCTCAGACTCCCAGTGAGCAAGTAGTTAAAGAGAAGCCAGCCCGACAGTGGAGTAGCCTCAGATGCAGGGCTGGCTCATGTTGCTCCCTCATTACCCATAGCTTAGCACCAGCTCTTCTCTGTTTCTGAGTTTTCCAAGATGCTCTAAGAATTCTCTAATGGAGACAGACAAACCCTACCTCTTATTGCTCCCTTTCTCTACGTTTTAATTTCCATGAGCACAGTGCCGTTCACAACTGGAAACTTAAACCCTTCCAAGGATCTCAGTTCCTATCTAAAGCCCAGCCTCTTTCGCCTGGCCTTCGGGAACTCCTCCACTTGGCTGCAGCAGACATTTGAGTGTTCGCCTTTCAGTGTGAACCCTTGAGTCCAGCAGTCTACGTGCTGCCTCACAAACCCGGATGCATGTTTGTACATGCCTACTTTTATAAAAAGCCGTTATTGTAGAGTACCTACCACATATCAGGCAATCTATTATTATTTAATCCGCACAACAGTTTTCTGAAGTTTTGTTAGCCATATTTCCACTGTAAAGTGACGGATGCCATTAGATTTTGAATAGCTTGTACTTGGTCTTGCAACCAGTAAGTGACAGATTGGGGTCAAATCCAGGTGTAATGACAAGATCCACGCTCTTTACTAAAACGATCAACATCCAGTTGATAATTAGCCTCCTAAAATTCTCCCCATGCTCTAAAATTTGCTTTCTTATCATCACATCCTTCCAATTTTATATTCATGGATGCATTTCAGAAAAACATCTTTGAATACCTGCAATATTGTGAAAGGAACTGTCGGAAATTTGCTGTGGTTCCCTGCTCTACAGGGAATGTGTAGTCTAGAAGAGGAGATGTGTGCAAACAACTTGAAAGCACAGAATGAGTAATGATAGAGAAGGAGACACGGAAGCTCTCAGAATTCTGCAGAGGAAGTTCTCATTTCCAGCCCAAGAGAAGATAGAAGGTGGCCTTTAACAGACATAGCATGGCAAGATGAGAGAGATTTTAAAAGCTGGTTCCTGGGGCATGGGAAGAGTATTTCAGGGAGAAGAGACAATGCTAGCAAATGTGAGAAAGCTAAAAAGCAGCGCGTGACCTAGAAACGGCGAATGTACGATGTGGGTGTGAACCCAACGTGAATGGTATATGTGAAATAAGAAGAAGCCAAAAAAGACAAGGATGAAAAGTCACCAAGGGCCTTCAACACCACGTGGAGGTATTTGGACCTTATCTGGTGCAGGATATGTAAACACTGAAACTTTTAAGCGTGAGTGTGATAGGATCCAAGACAGGCTTTCTAAAAACAAATGCTGCTGCAATCACAGGAAAAAGTAGAGGGAGCACAGACTAGAGAAGAAGAGTCCAGCTAGGAATCTAGATCATTAGTTCAAGTGAGAAGTAATGATTATCTGGACTCGTGAAGAGGGCAATAGGAATGTAGGGGAGTGGAGAATTGTTACCTGTCTTTGGCTACACCCAGCTCCTAGCATATGGACTGAGGTAGAATAGACCCTCATGACATACCCATGTTGAGAAAATGGCAGGAGGAACAGGTGCCCAGCAAAGGTAAAAGATGCCTTTCTGATTATTTCCTAAAAGTGCCCTCTGGCATATTGTTACCCTGTGTTTTGGGAAGTACCACATGGTCTGGATATACCTGTCCTCAGCCTCATTTCTTCCCTTTGGCAGCGCAGTCCTTCTTAATAGGAGCCTTCTCCTGAAAGGACTGGCTTGCTGCACAGAAGCCCACTGAAAGAGGGCTTCACGAAGATGAACTAACTAGGTGAGAGAGAAGGTGGCTGCTCTTTTCTAAACAGACTAATTTCTAAATGAATTTCCCAAAAAAAATGGAAAAACAGGCTCTTTTCAAACATCACTGCCTTTGGGAATATGAAAATAAAGATACACCCTAAATCAGTGGTCAGCAAGCTTTCTCTGTAAAGAACCAGAGAGTAAGTATTTTAGGCTTTGTGAGCCAAATGATCTATATCGCAATTACTCAGTTTGCCGTTGTAGAGTAAAAGCAGCCACGGATGATATATAAACAAATAAATGTGGCCCTGTTTCAATAAAACTTTATTCAAACAGGGGCCAGATAGGATTTGGCCATGGTAAATAGTTTTCTGATCTCTGTCCTAAGAAGTAAGGTCAGTAATCATATTCGGTGTTTTTTTGTTTGTTTGTTTTAACCCAAATTAATTTAGTATTTGAGGTAGCAAAAATTTCAAATGATTGCTTTTTGTGAGTTTGAAATATTATGATACCTTTATTTTGTGTGTGTGTGTGTGTGTGTATTCTAATCTGGAAAAGGTTAATTCAGAAGCTGCGAGTGGATGTAATCTTGATTAACTCACTTTTGGAGGTATTGGTCCAGGTTTCTTCTGCATCAAAATGAGCATCTCCTCCAATACCTCGGCCTGGCTGAAAGGCATGAGCAAGGATTCCATTGGGTCCATCAAATGGAGAATTGTCACCATGATCTGAAATAAGGAAATGTGTATTAGATCCTTGCCAAGTTTCAGATTAGCCAAAGAAGGCAAAACTGAGCATGACTGCTTTGCACCTACCTCTCTGGAAAAAAGCAATGTTGATATCTGCCTCTCCCTGTGAGATCCTGGTGAAGGTGAGAGGTGACGCATCACTCCAGACTTTAAAGGCTTTCCCAATAGCTCTTTCTACCTCAGTCTCTGACAGCTGCGGGGTATAGTTGATAATCCTTCAAAATGAGAGAATGTACGAAGAGTTAAGTGTTATTTAGAACAGCAGTCCATCAACAGATGAGTTGTTCTGTTTTGAAGTGAATGGCATCATGATTTGATGCCACTGGAGAGGGTAAGGAGGGAGTGCAGCTCTCAGGAGGACGGATCTGGCTTCTGAACAAGTTAATAAATGTCTATAAACCTCAGTTTCCTATTCATAAAATGAGGATACTAAAATAGTATCCCTCTCATAGGGCTGTTGTGGGGATTAAATACGTGTAAAGCATTTAGTTCATTACTTGTCAAACAGTAGTATTCCACAAACATTAGACATTATTATTATTATTAAGATGTATGAAGGGAGGGAAGATTCTCTCCAGCAATGATTAAGCCTTTGTTGGCTCCCACAGTGGGTACTTAGAGAGATGCCTGACATTGCCACAGTCCTCTTTAGGTTGCTGGAGAAGGAAGACTAAAATGGCAAGCTTTGGAATGGAGAGGACACATGGTATCTCTGCATTTTCATTCTCATACTCATTCACTCTTCACACTCTCCAAGGGCAGGAATATTTACCTACTTGTTCCTACTGTATCCCAAGACCAAGAGCAGTATCTGTCATGTAAGAGCTTAGTCAATACCAGACGAATGAGTGAATTCTGACACCCTAGAAATATCACCTGTAGGTCAAGTTCGTTTGTTCCCACTTGGGGTCTCCTGGGGTTTTCATAAAATCACTGCTGTCAGGCACTCCACAGCGAGGCTGTTTCATCATCTCCAGAGTTTCCGCATTTGGCTTCCCCGTCACATTCAACCCAAAAAATCGCTGCATTTCTTTAAGCTTTTCGACAATCATATTAATGCTGTTCTTCCTGATAGACGGATACTGGTTGCTTGGTAATTGATAGAACTTTTCCAGGTAGTCCTAGACAAAGACCAGCACACAGGTTCTTGCTGTGAAAGTACTTCTAGTTTTCTGGTCATTCTGCGACCCTTTCTAAGTTACCATAGAGGTCTAATAACCTGACAGCCACAGGAACAAGAACACAAATTAATTTGTAGGTTAACTTTGAGAGAACAACGATTTAGAAAGAACAGTTCCTCCATTCAGCGCTCCAGTTAATGATTATGCATAAAAATAGGTGTGGCAGAAGGGATGAGGGTCACATCACACAGGTGCCATGATACAGTCAGGAGTCTGCCTTCTTGTTTTTATAAAAAAGTTAGAACTAACATAAATTGACTTCTCTCGAGGTATTTGTTGCATCAATTCAGTTCCTCTTTCTCATCCTCTTCGCTACTGTAGAAAAGGCTTAATTACTCTCAGGAACAAATGGAGGCACAGAGAAATAAGGAATTTTCCAAGTGATATTCCAGGTTTTAACTCACGGTGTTGCCTCTCAAATGAGAACTGATAATTTCAAAAGAATTCCAAATATCTTTTTGGGAAATACCAGTATCGATGTTAGCATTTTATTCACCAAGGTAACTCTTTGGAAGAGGCCAACATTCCTTTGGAAGTGTTAAATTAAGTTTAGTCAAAATCCAAAATGTTTGGCCTAAAAATTACATATTTTGTTTGACTTAAAAGCTTCTTCGGCCGGGTGCGGTGGCTCAAGCCTGTAATCCCAGCACTTTGGGAGGCTGAGGCAGGTGGATCACGAGGTCAAGAGATCGAGACCATCCTGGTCAACATGGTGAAACCCCGTCTCTACTAAAAATACAAAAATTAGCTGGGCATGGTGGCGCATGCCTGTAATTCCAGCTACTCAGGAGGCTGAGGCAGGAGAATTGCCTGAACCCAGGAGGCGGAGGTTGCGGTGAGCTGAGATCGCACCATTGCACTCCAGCCTGGGTAACAGAGCGAAACTCCGTCTCAAAAAAAAGACTGTTGGTCTGCTTTTATAATGCTTCCAAAAGTTTATAAACCGTCCACAATCTGAATCTGGTGCTGGGAAATGTGATTATACTATGACCTGATTTCTAGTTCATTTTAATCTCCCATCCTCACATTCTCTTCTACATCTGCAAATTTTGGCGGCAAAGCAAATGTCTATATGAAAATGCCTACATGGAAGCACCAGACATATAGTAACTTAATTGCAGATATCTTAGAAGGAAAAATTTTAGATAAATGAGAAATAAAATGATACCATTTTATAAATAAAACCATTTATTCTAAAAAATCTTCCAAGCTAGCTGTAGCTGTACTGTGGGTAACCCCCCATGTAGGTACTGAGGAAGGAGAGCTAAGCAGAATCCTGGCATAATTAAGGCCTGAAGAATAAGAATATCTCAATTATTTCCCTTTATATAATTCAGTGAATATACTAGTTCATAGAATGAGTGCCTAGGGAATATCTTACCACTCAGTTATTTCCATATATATACATATATTAACTATATCTTAGTTCATAATCGGAGGAATGCCTAGAGTAGACACGTACAGAGCATTAATTAAGGAATAAACAGCTTATAGTTGGAGAAATGTCTGGAACAGACACAGTGCAGAGCATTATTCAAGGGAAAACAGTTATACCAGGACAAGAACCCATGGCCCAGGTGGCAGCATTCAATATCGTAAAGATACCTGCTGTATGGCAGGCTTGGGGCAAGAGCCACTCCTCCTGATAAAGGAGTTGTAAGACCTTGCTCCAGTTCTTGTGGAAAGCTGCCCTCAGACAGACAAATTCCTCGAGCATCTGAGGGCTCAAAGCCCTTCCAGATAACCGCACCTTGGTGACTGTGAACTTTATTAGCTCTTGTTACTGTGCTGCCCAAAAAGTATCCTCCTATAGAACTCACTGGAAGCTGCCAGCAGGTAGTGGTAGACTCTGACAGCTCTGTCACTGCTGTGGATTTAAGCATCCTCCTACAGATCTTCTTAGGAGTAGCATGCCCATAGATAGAGGTATTGCACACTGAACCCTCTTCACTGCCCACGGCCCACCTCCACGCCTCAGTGACCTAATGGGGGTGAACCCCTTACTGCACACGGCCCACTTCCTTGCCTCGATGACCTAATGGGAATGGACCCCTCGCTGGACACTGTGCACCTCCTAACCTAGGTGACCTAATGGGGGTGGGCCCCTTGTTTTATTGCTCATGACCCTATCACCATCCTTAAAAATGACTTCACTTGCTGCCCTGTCCCCTAACCTATACCCAATAAATACAGATGCTTCTGGACATTCAGGGCCTCGCCTGTCTCTGCTTATAGGTGGTGTGGCCCCCCATGAGCCCAGCTATGTTTTCCTTGGTACTTCTGTGTCCTGTCTTTTTATTTCTCAGATCCTGCGCCTCAGCACAGTGTAAGGGACACCCCATGACCCTGTGGGGCCCTTAGCCCTACATTCTACAGCAGCATTTTCCCAGCCTCTAAAGAAATCAGCTTGTTTTCATGTCCAGCTTTTAAAGGCCTAGTCCTTACCAGCTTGGAACCCTCCAAATCACTAAAAGAAGATGTTCAACCTCAAACTAATCTAGATAATTTCATTCAGGCTGTTTTAACTAACAAGAGAAAACAACCCACACTATTTCCTAATAATCAGCAAATCAACCACCACCTAACTGACAGCTCATTTACCTGAACAATTTTTGTATCTTTCTCCTTAGAAGATATAGGAAGGGCCTTGGAAATCTGCACATGGAGTAAGAGCAGAAATGGAAGCGTCTTCAGACAGAACATGATCTTCTCTTTAAATGCTACCAACCCTGGCCTTCTCTTTGCCCTTGGGGTAGGGCCCTTCCCTGGTGAGCACCCTGAGGTTCACCGGATCATGTGCCACTCAGCTATCTTTCAGTCCCCTTTAAAGCCATGTCTTAAACAATTGTTGCATCCGGGATATGAAGCAACATGGGTTAATTACACTCTGACAGTTTTGCAACTTTATAATGTGATTTAGTATCCCAGAATGGGGGAGTCTTTCAAACTCCAACTTCCTACTCTTTGCTTTGGGTGTTTTAGTTATTTACTTTTACAAAATTGGTCGAGGAAAAGGAACAGGAGACTAATCCTGAAGTTACATGGATACATTTTCTGGTTATGTAAGATGCTGAGGCTGAATTAACTTATGCAGGGGAACATTTTGAGGTTTGTGGTAGATATTTTGGGACCAAGGAGCCCAACTAGAGAATCTCGGTACTTATCCCCCCTCGCCGTATGTGGGGAGAATGAGTGACTGAGTGTGCTATTACAAAGCAGGCTTTGTACGGCGGCCTAGAGCTGCTTCTGGAGGATGTGGCTTGGCATCAATGTATTAGAAAATCCCTAGTCTATAAGCCTGACTTTCCATGGAAAAGACATAGAGAACAATACTGATGATGATAATAATGACCATTTGCTAAAAATTTATGACTTTCCGGACATTTGTACTGCACCCCAATTCATCACACAGCTTTGGGAGGGAGATGCTCTTACTCTCTCCGTTTTACAGGTAAAATCAAATCTAGAGACATTTAGATGACTTGTTTAAGTCACATGCTTGGTCTGTGGAGGGGCCAGGATTCAACCTCAGAGGGTATGTTCAGAGGGACTGAGCTGGGGGCTACTACACGTTCTTCATGGGAGTCTCCTGCTTGAGTCTCTGGCTGGCACATAGTGCAGCAGTAGCTCTAGGCCAGCAACAGCTGGATGCTTTGGTTTATATTCACAAGGAGAGGACAAGGGAGCAGAGAATGAGACGTTGTACATCTTCAAGGAATAAGACACTGAGAGATTTCCAGAAAATATGGCTACATAGGAGACTATTGGTCAGAGGCCCCTGGCCATGCTTTTCAAATCGTGTAACCTGGTCCCACTTATTTTGACTGCACATGCATGTAGTTTGTTACCGTACACAGTCTTTGTGAAGATTCAATTACTTATATGTATACATGTTTGGCAAAGGCAGGTATTCCTGTGTATAAATGCATATGTCTACATATATGATACATAACATGTACTAGTATGTAAAGAGTGTCTTTGAGATGCTATGATAAGGAGTTCAGCTCTTTCCTTAGGTCACGTAGGAACTCTGAAAATGATCCAAAGAAATACGTCCTGCGTTAGAACATATCTGGACAGCAGATTAATTGTTGATGATTTAAGTGTTCGATGCAATGACTGCTTACAAAGTTCATAAATGTACTTTTTTCTGGACATAACAGCAAGTGATTTAATTGAGAATCTAAAACTTTGGTAAATTCAGTTTTTGGTGTTTGTGTAAATGCCATATTAAAGAATTGAACTGTTGAGTCTGGATCTCCACCAACAGGTCCAGCCCTGGTGCAGCGGTGGAGAAGCTCGGGCGTCTGCCTTCGGGGCTCCAGCTTGTGCTTTCTGAATCCTTTCTCCACACCTGGCCACTGTCCATGGTGTCTGTTTCTCACCCTCTTCTGGTCCCTGGCACTGACAGTTCTCTCAGGCTCCCTCCCTCAAAAATCAAATCAGTCATTTACACTTCACTGTGAACATATGAGTTGTCTGTTGAGTAGATCTCTTGCTAGAAACAACAAGCAAACACATTTTTAAAAAGGAAGACGTTGTTCATTAAAAGATGAGTTTCAGGGAAAATTAAGAAGATCAAAGAAATTCAGTTTGAGGAGAACAGATGCAAGGCAATGTAGGATTTTTCTTTCTCTCTAATACTAGCCTCCCTCTGGCCCCATCAGCAGCAGCCTATTCTCATAAGGATAAAGATATTCTTATAAGGATGAGGATATAGATATGTGTTCTATAGTGACATAGCAGGTGTATTTTTACAGCTCTGTTTTGCTTTCTAGGCCTGAGGAGATAACACTGATTGCATAGATACAGTCTGTTTGTTCTTTAGTTATAAAATAAAGGATGGGTTGGACCAGCTGGGGTGAGCATGTGTGCCTGAATCTTGAATGATGAGCAGGAGTTGCCCATGGGGAATGTGATCCAGCAGAAGGAACAGTGTCCACTGAGCAAAGAAGTGTACTCAGTGAAGCCACGGCTCATTTGATTCACATAAGCCAAGGTGAATTGTCCTCAACTTCACGCCTTTTTGAACTCTAACAATTAGAATGGATGTCCATACAGCCTGACCAAGTTAACAGGATAATTGTTGGGGCCAGTTGTGGTGAAAGGTAAAGAGTATTCAGGTTAAAATTAACCTTCCTGGGTTCAAATTACAGTCCTGCCACTTCCCACTTATGCAGCTTTTGGCAAATCTAAGTTCTGAGGCTCAATTCTCATCCCTGTAAAACGAGGGCATTAACATCTCCCTCGCAGGGCATCGAGGAGAAGAGATGAGATCGTAAATGGGAAAAGTCTGTGTAGACCCTTCACGGTGTCCTCTTTGTGTTATGAATGTGGTGAAATTATAGCCATGTTAGTTCATGTGTCCATTCTGGGAATGAGTTAGCAATGCTGAAAAGTTCTCCTTTTCCAGAAAGAGAAGTGCTTCTAAGTTAAGCCACCCAGTGAAGTAACTTCCATGGAGCTTCCTTTGGTAGCCAGTGTTCAGGTTCAGCCAGGGAACACATGTGTGTGACTCACATCCTTCTCACAGAGTGTAAATGTATGCACTCAGATCTCACACATCATTATGGATTAATCACTATGCTAAGGCTTAGACATTCGATATCTCTTATCTGCCTTATGCTTCATAACATCCCAGAGAAGTAGGCGTATTATCCCTATTTTAAAGAAGAAAACAGATTCAGAGATATGATTTTCATTTATTCTTCCTAGTAATCTCCTTTGTTCTCCCAATGAGGGAAATTTTTTTTAAAAAGTGATTATGCTCAGTCTTGGTACTACATGAGGATCTATATTAAAAATACAAGTAGGCTTCTTTCGCGGACTAAATATTGTGTCCCCCATCCCCAAATTTACATGTTGAAATCCTAACTCCCAGTGTGATGGAAGGAGGTGAGTCCTCATGAGTGAGATCAGTGTCCTTGTAAAAGAGACCCCAGAGAACTCTCCTGCCATCTTTCCACCACGTGAGGATCCAATGAAAGTTGGCAGTCTGCAACCCAGAAGAGAGCCCTCAGCAGAGCCTAACCACATCAGCATGCTGATCTGACTTCCGTCCTCCAGAACTGTGAGAAATAAATACATTTCTGTTGTTTATAAGCCACCCAGTCTATGGTACCTTGTTTTGGCAGCCAGAACAGACTGAGACAGCTCCACTCCAGATACTGAATCAGAATCTGTAGGGGCAGCCCAGGCACACAGAATTTTAGAAAGATCCCAGGTAATGACGAGGATGAGTTGAGAACCTCTATTGTAAGAGAGGATGGAGAATATATAAAAAGAGAGGTAAAAAGTCATGTTTTAGGATTTAAAAAAAGAACAATCATATTCTACTGGGGAGATCCGCAAAGACTTTGTTGGGGAAGTGGCCATTGAGATAAACTTTGAAAGATGGGTTGAATTTTGGCATTGAAATTAAGCTAAATGAAGTTGGGATTAGAAGAAGTAAAAAGTGAAGATACTGTGTGAAGAAATCTTGGATTATAAGTGAAGAATAACAAGGCTCTGGGCATAGAGTATATAAGGAGAAGCACGTGGGAGTGGAGGTCTAGAGCCAGATGATGGAGGGGCAGGAATTAAATATCAAAAAACCAGCAATGAGCAGACATTGTTGGTTTCTGAGCCATGTAAAAATCAGTGCTGACTTACTAAAACTACCTGGCCACAGTATAGAGGATAGACTGGAGTAAGGAGAGGTTATGAATAAGAACAACTAAAAGGTGGAGTAAAAGTTTCAGTGAAAGGTCATGAGGACCTGGTTCCGGGGGGTGGTCACAGATCTTCCTCTTGGTGTGGGGATGGATGGTGAAGAAATGAGATGGAGGACAGAAGGGAACCAGGGTCATCACACCACACCTCTCCAAGGAGAAGCAATTCACATCACAGACACACAGGATAAAATAAAAGTTGTCTTGAGGCTGGGCATGGTGGCTCACGCCTGTAATCCCAGCACTTTGGGAGTCCGAGGCAGGCGGATCACCTGAGATCAGGAGTTCAAGACCAGTCTGACCAACATGGAGAAACCCCGTCTCTACTAAAAATACAAAATTAGTCGGGCGTGGTGCTGCACGCCTGTAATCCCAGCTACTTGGGAGGCTGAGGCAGGAGGATTGCTTGAACCTGGGAGACAGAGGTTGCGGTGAGCCCAGATTGCACCATTGCACTCCAGCCTCGGCAAGAAGAGTGAAACTGTCCAAAAAAAGAAAAAAGCATTGTCTTGAGAGTCAAAGAGTTCTCTTGAGGATGGCAGATGCAGTCAAGGCTAAGGGTGGAGCTGAAGGAAGTGGAGACTTGAGAAGCTGTACTAGTGAATTTGACCCACAGATGATGCTGTTTAAAATGCCTGCTAGGCAGTCATGATGGTCCAGGCGAGTGAGAGGTGCTAGAGTGAGCGTGAAGGATCTCATTCCTCCATGTGGTGTGGATTAGCCCTAAACATTTCCGTTTCTCCCCCTACATTTATTCTCCCAAATAGAGGGTGTTGAGGATAAGAGGGAATGGAGAAAATGACCTGTTGGGAGTCACTGACTGTGCAGAAACCAGTTTGACAGACAACCACGAGAACAGATGGCAGAGTAGTAAACATTTCCATTCCAGGCTGCTCTGTGTGTCTCGAGGCAGGAAACTGCTAAGTGGATTTTGCCAAACTCTCTTTTCTACTAAATCAATCCAGTTGTGTGGCTAGAATGCCTCATTTTTCACTTTTCCTGAGGCACTGTCTTTTCTAAACCTTCTCCACTCTCGATAGCGAGATATTACTTCCCACTTTAGGCAAATTCCCTCATTTTCTC